CCGTCAACGTCAACGAGGACCGGCCGGTGGGCACCACGGTGGTGGTCATCAGCGCCACCGATGAGGACACGGGGGAGAACGCCCGCATCACCTACCTGATGGAGGACAGCATCCCCCAGTTCCGCATCGCCGCTGAGACGGGGGCCGTCACCACCCAGATGGAGCTGGACTACGAGGACCAGGTGTCCTACACCCTGGCCATCACGGCGCGTGACAACGGCATCCCGCAGAAGTCCGACACCACCTACCTGGAGATCCTGGTGAGCGACGTCAATGACAACGCGCCCCAGTTCCTCCGCGACTCCTACCAGGGCTCCGTCTACGAGGACGTGCCCGCCTTCACCAGCGTCCTCCAGGTCTCCGCTACCGACCGTGACTCGGGGCTCAATGGCAGGGTCTTCTACACCTTCCAAGGGGGTGATGACGGCGACGGCGACTTCATCATCGAGTCCACCTCAGGCATCGTCCGCACCTTGCGCCGCCTCGACCGGGAGAACGTGCCACTCTACACCCTGCGGGCGTTCGCCGTCGATAAGGGTGTCCCGGCCAAGCGGACGCCGGTGGAGATTCAAGTGACGGTGCTGGACGTCAACGACAACCCGCCCGTCTTCGAGCGGGATGAGTTTGACATCTTCGTGGATGAGAACAGCCCCATCGGGCTGGTGGTGGCCCGGATCACGGCCACCGACCCCGACGAGGGCACCAACGCTCAAATCATGTACCAGATCGTTGAGGGTAACATCCCCGAGGTCTTCCAGTTGGATATCTTCTCCGGCGAGCTCACCGCTTTGGCCGACCTGGACTACGAGTCCAAAGCGGAGTACGTCATGGTGGTCCAAGCCACCTCCGCCCCCCTGGTGAGCCGGGCCACCGTCCACGTCCGCCTTCGCGACGCCAACGACAACAGCCCCCAACTCAAGAATTTCGAGATCCTCTTCAACAACTACATCACCAACCGCTCGGGCAGTTTCCCCGGGGGGGTCATCGGTCGCATCCCCGCCCACGACCCCGACGTCTCCGACAGCCTCACCTACGCCTTCGAGCAGGGCAACGAGCTCAACCTGGTGCTGTTGGACCCCCGTAGCGGCGACCTGCGCCTCAGCCCCGCTCTGGACAACAACCGCCCGTTGGAGGCCGTCATGAGGGTCTCCGTCTCGGGTAAG